GTTTTAACTTGGAAAGCTTTTTGGAAGTCCTTAGAACTGTGAATATGTTATCACAATGGATTTGCTCATGAATGTGAATGCATAGCTGGGAAGTGTTTTTTGTGTGGGAAGGAGACAATCTGTTAGCCATCTTTTTCTGTTTGAAGCTCCGTTGTATTGTGGAGAGTCCGCCCATGTGAATTTTAATTCAAACATAACTTGGCTGTTAGCAAGTCCGCCCCGTAATGCCTGATCTGCTTTATTTTTTTTATTTTATTTTTATTTTTACTTTTTTTATATCACTTTCTTGCCTATATATATATATATATATATATATATATATATATATATATATATATACACCTATATATATATATATATATATTTAAAAAGTATATTATTTTACATAGTATAAGTATTTTTTATTTCAAGATTTTAAACTTGTTTTTTTCAGCAATAATCTACAATGTATATCTCTAACAAAGAGTTTCGGCAAGTTAGAAATATATTATATCTTATTTTATTATATTTTAAAAAATGTTAGTATGTTATATATATTTACTTGTTCAATAATATTTCTATGACTATTTTCGAAAAAACTTAACGGTTCTGCCCCGAGCCTAGTAAACTTTTGATTTAGCTTAAATTTGTCAATATGTTAGTAATATTTTTACCAAAATTCTAAAATACTAATAAAAAAATATTATCCAATCTTGCTCGTTAAAATAAATTAATGTATACATTATACAATATAAATAGGAAGCGGGTTTCGTAAAGCTCGCGTAAGGCCTCCCAATTTCTCCCTTGCAAAAAGGGTAAAAACTTGCACGCAACCCTTGTCAACAATTAATCAATTATGTACAACGTTAAACTTGTCAATACTATTATTATTTTTATTATTTTTTATTTTTTTCTATTTTGTTACCAGTAAAAACTAAAAAGACACGTTGAAATAAATTTTAATGTTTTTTTTTCTTTTATCATGACTTTCAGAAATTAAAACCGGTCAATCAACAACAAACGACCATATTTTAATATAGGGTAAATTACAACCACCCCAGATGTATGGTCAAATTACGAAAACTCCTTTTTTATTTGGATAATTACAACCATCCCCTCAACTCCTCAAATTTAGTGGAATCTTCAAGATTATATGGAATATTATCAGTTTTGTACCCGTTTTATCCCATTCGAACTCTACATTTTGAAGCAAGGTGATCATAGTATGTATCTTTTGACTTGTATATGTCAGATTGTGGTGCATCAGAAGCTGTACTTTTACACAAAACGAGTACAAACTAGAGCATATTCCACGAAATCTAAATGATTATGTTGAATTTGACACCATAAGGGTGGAGGTGTAAGAAAAAAATCATAGTTGAGGGGGTAGATGTAATTATCCAAATAAGAGAGGTTTTTTTGTAAATTGACCATACCTTAGGGGTGCTTGTAATTTACCCTTTAATATAATAATACTCGAACGAAACTTCCATTTTCCATGGCTGCTATAAATCAAAATCCTGTCTTCTTTCGAATTAATTAATTAATTAATCAAATAAATAAACAATTAATTGCAGAAAAAAAAATCCCAATCTCATTATAAATACCAAACAACTCCCACTAATTTACTAAAAAACAATTCATTCATTCATAATGAAAATCCACTTTCGTCCATTATTATTCATTCTTCTAGTACTAGCCGCCGCCGCCTGCGCCGCCGCCCGGCCGCTACAAAACAGCTTCTCCGATGGATCGCCGGGAAGCGGCGCTAATTCTTCTTCTTCTTCTTCTTCTTCTTCTTTTTCGTCTATGTTGAGGTTTAAAGGGATTGATGGTGAAGAAGAGGAATTGATGATATGCGAGCAAATGTACGGATTTCTGCCGTGTTCGAAAAGTATGACGGGGCATCTTTTCTTGATCGTTGTGTACGAATTTCTGCTGTTTCGCGGAGAATCGTACGTTGCTTCCGGCGGCGAAAGAATTTTCAAAATCCTCGGGCCGGGCGTTTTTGGCGCCAGTGCTTTTCAAGTTATCGGATCTTTGCCGGAGGCATTAATTCTTCTTGGTATGTAATTTTTTATTTATTTTTATTTAAAAATTAATCAATTAATATACTTTAATTTTTCAAAAACAAAATTAATTTTTTTTCTTCATAAAATTTATTATTTTATGATATGGTGTTTATAATTTCAATGGTTACAAAGTAAGTTTTATTCTTATAAGTTGGTTACATTGAATTTTTTTTGGTAATTAGATGAAATCTCAATGGTGATTCTTACCATTTATCCTATTTTTATTTCTAAAAAGTGAATATTAAAAACTAAAAAATTTAATAATCGTAATTTATTTGGGTTAGAATTTTTTTTTTCCCTAAGCTTATATTGTTCGGAAAAATAATTAAAAACAAAAATGCATTGGGTAGTTAAATTTTATTATGGGACATTGATTTACCGTAGAATCCCAATAAATTAATAATTACGTTTAAATAATAATTTTGCTAAATTAATAAAATATTGTTATACTGACTATATTAATTTATAGAGATTTAACTGTATTATAATATAAAATTAAGTCCATGAATACGAAAGTTGTTAACGCAAGGACTTGCCTAAATCGTACATCTATATATAATTTATAATTAATTATAATTGAATATTATGTATCTAAGTAATCATCAATTTATCATATAATAAATGAAAAAATAATATAAAAGTCCTATGCTTCTTGCAAGTTGCAGCATTTGCTGAGCTGGCAGGAGCAGCCGCCTCCGGTTTTCCCTTATCGTCCTAAATTGTAAAACAATAATTATTTATTTAATATATTTAAATATTTAAATTCTGGCTCTTACTATATATTAAATTAAAAAGCTTCAAGTAGTAGGTGGTCCATCATTTGTTTGTAAGAATTATTTTTTGTGATATTTTATGAGTTTTAAAAAAGAGAGAGATATTTTATGATTAATAAAGATACAATTAAAAAAGAGAGATTAATTAATAACTTCTAATTAAGATTCTAAAGTGACATATGATATAAACTTAAAAAATATATCAGTTTATCCAAAGTGATAATTAATTTAAAGTTAGGTAGGAATATAGTTTATATTATTAAAAAAGAAAAAGAAAAAAAAAGAAAAAAAAAAAGCTATCCATGTCACTACTACTATTTTTGTAGGTTTGGTTTTGACTTTGACTTGGAACACTTGAATTGAAATGTCAATAGCAGCCGTCTGCTAATTATATATTTTTTAATATTTTTAATTATATTAATTGGGTCCAATTTCTTGAAATAAGTTGTTGTCTGTACAGTAAAATCTCGATAAATTAATAGTCTCGCCTAGCCAATAATTTATTTTGTTCCAAATTCGAAAAAATGTATAAAATTATTAGTTCGATAATTTAATATTTCATTAAATTAATAAAATTTTATTAATTACAGATACGGCAGTATTAATTCATAAAAGTTTAAGTGTAATTGGTTAACAATAGAATTGGAATCTATTATACTTTACACTATTAACTATTAAGTACAAATAATCTCTCCAATTCATTAGCCTATCCCACTAATCAAATTTTCTTTAGGAATGAATGTAATTCATTTTCGACCTCGAACAACATTTTTAATTCGTAGTTCCGATTTTACCGATTTTTTTTTTAAATTATAAATGAAATTGATATGATATTTTCAATTTTCAATCCAATTTTAATTTCATGAAATTTTCTTATGTATCTTTGTGAAAAGAAAAATTGAATTTTTATTCCTCCGATTTCGATCTGAAAATTCAATTTTAGAATAAGTTTATTTTATTATTATTATTATTTCTGTAAATTCAATTTTCAATAATTGATGCTTTTGAATTCTTTAGAACGAAAATATTGATATAAATAAGGACAAAATGCACTTCACCACCTATAAAATTTTCATTTTTGCACTTTCCCACCTAAAAATTCAAAAAATGGATACTCCCCTTTCGAAATACTATTTTGCTTGCACTTTGTCCCAGAAGCCAATTTTTGGAGGTCATTGTGCAACAAAAATAACATTTTAAAGTGGTAACATGCAAAAACGTAGTGTATTTAAGGGACAACGTGCGAGAAAAATAACATTTAAATGGGCAGCGTGCAACAAATACACTCAATTCCAATAAATAATCCATTAGAGTTTTTCTATCGGAACAATGTGCAACAAGAATAACATTTTGAAAGGGGAACATTCACTTTTTAAAAAAAATTGAGGGGGTAAAGTGCGAAAATTAGAAATTAGAAATTTACAAGGGGGTGATGTGCAATTTTCCGTATAAATAATACCCGATTTCAAAAAAAAAATCCAACTAATTTCTTGTTTTAACCCAACACAGCATCTGGGCTACTGAGCAAGGAAGAAAGTGCAGAAGAATTCGTCGTCACCGGAGTCGGATTACTCGCCGGATCTACAATCCTAATCCTCACCTTACTCTGGGGCACGTGCGTTATCCTCGGCGGCCAACGTTTCCCCCACCACACTTCTTCCGATCATCCCAAAAATCAAAACCCTCTCGAAAAAATCCTCTTCTCTCTCTGGCCAGGTTCGAATTTTCCCGCCAATTCACCGATCCGATTTTCCCGCCAATTCCGATTCCAATTTTGTTTGATTTTTTTATGCAGGTTATGGTGTATTGACGGATACGGAAACCAATTACACAGCGAGGATCATGCTTCTCTCGGTTGTACCTTTGGCGTTGATGCAAGTACCCAAGGTTTTCGGGTTTTCCCCTGCTGGAGAACGGGTTTTCGTCTCGATTATTCTCGTGGTTTCGATTGTGTTGCTGCTTTCTTACTTCTTCTATCAGGTTAGCATTTTAAAGCTCGATTTTTTTTAGGGTTGTTTTTGGGGATTTTTTTTTTCGATTTATAAAGAATTGCCGTTCGTGTAGATCGTGTGATCGTATGATCGTATTTGTTTAATTATATATTTGTAATTGTAATTTTTTTTTGGGAGCAGTTCTTTGAGCCTTGGATTCAGAGGAGACGGTTAATGTATTTAAAGCACGAGCATTTAGTCGTAGACATTCTAAAGCATGTGCAAAATCAGACAAAGGGAAAACTCATCGGTGAAAATGGTGCACCAAATGTCTCGACAATTAGAAGGTACGTGTATTTCTAAGGGTGTAAATCGAACGGATCGGAAATCGGAATTAGCACTTTCGGAAAAATTCGGTTTCTTTCTGAAGTGAAAAACTAATTCCACATTCGACTCGAAAAAAATTGGAAAAATCGGAAATCATAACTCTAGAAATTGTAATGGGAAAACTTGCTCTAAAATTGGTAATTTTCGGATTGGAATTAGGAATATTCAAATTTTTAGTCACATATAGTATAAAAAAATATAATAATATTAATATTGTAAGTGTAATTTTCGGCCAAAAAAAATGGATTTTTTGGAAATATTTCCGGAAATTAAAATTGGATCAGAAATCAGAATCTAATATGTATTCCATTTCTTAATCCAAAAAAAAAAAACGGAAAAACTGGAATTCGGAATAAAAAAGTTCATTCGATAATGGAAAATATTTGGATCGGAATCGGCGGAATTCGGAAATTCCGTTCCAGTTTCCACCCCTAAATATTTCTCTCAGTGTCTTTAAATTGATGAATTTGTGAGGCACGGATTTCAATCGATGTACAATAAAAACCTTATTGTCACTTAGTATAATTATCTTAATTCGTGCGCTAAGTTTTGTGCAGACTGTTTGAAGAGAAAGATCAAGACATGGACAAGGTTATCTCTTTCCACGAGCTGAAAGAATTCCTACAAGATATTAAATTTAGGAAAATCCAGTCGGGCGACGATGACACGGCTGCAGAGATGATGAAAGATTTCGATTTGGACAATGACGCAAAAATAACTATGGATGAATTTGTCAATGGAATGACGAAATGGCTCGACGATACGAAAGATGCAATGAGTAAAAAATATCATTCGGTTAAATCGCTCAAGGACATGTACCAGGTTATATTTGTGAATTCAACTTTTTTATTTCACTTCAATCGGACGTATCGGATCAGAATTCAACTTTTTGAAAAAAAAAAAAAGGTTTTTTTTTCCTCGAAGTACTAAGAAGGTGTTTGGCTAAACTTATTTTAAACAGTTGACAAGCTTTTACGTCTGATAAGATGTTTTTATAGCTGATAAGCTGTTACATCTAAAAAAATATTTTTATGATTAATTTTTAGAGTGTTTGGATAACAAACTTATTTCCTATTTTTACTCCTTATAATATCTTAAATAAAAAGGTGGGGGTAGATGTACTTTTTTAAAAAGATCTTATTTGCTCTCCATCAGCTTATTCTAAAAACAATTAAGATATTTTTTTAAAGGTTTACCAAACACTTTGGAAGAGCTTATAAGTTCTAAAACATCTTATAAGCTCTTTTTAACATCTTATAAACTTAGCCAAACACCCTCTTAGTACTTTCGGGAAAAAAAAAACCCTTTTTTTTCAATTGAAAACCTAATTCCAATTTGGTTCCAAAAAATATTCCGATAATCGAAAATCGGAATTTCGGAAATTGGATGAAAAAACTTGTTCCAAAATTGAAAACTTTACGGACTCAGCGGGATCCAAAAAAAAAATCAGAAAAAAAATTGAATTTTTTTGAATTCCAATTCTTTTTCAAAGAAAGAAACCGAAAACTCGGAACTCGGAATGAAAAATATTGTTCGAAATTCATCCCGTAAAACCCGTTTCGTGTTATCTGTTTCAGGTTCTGAAACCGTGGATTCAAAAGAAAAAGGAAGAACGCGAAATGATGAAACATCTTATTCCCGATGTTTTGGAACATATCCAAACCTCTATGTACGGGAGCCTTTTGACGGAAGACGAAACTCCAGATATCCCTGCTATAAAAAGGTATATATATATATATTTTTTTTTTTCGATATGATTTATTATTACCTGAAGGTATTCGTTAATCAACTACATTTCTGAATTTTTTAAATGAATCTGCAGGTTATTCAAAAAAATTGATCTCGACGACGACAACTGCCTATCGTACTTTGAATTGAAGGAGCTCATAAACAATATCAAGTTCGGCATAATTCCATACGACGCAGATACAGTAGCATCCAAAATAATGGAAGAACTCGATATAAGTGGGGACCACTTGATTAGCGAGGAGGAGTTTGTTACGGGTTTGACCAAATGGCTCAACACAATTTATAATCTCCATCATAACTCGGAAGAGAATGAAGAAGAAGATGATAGTTATCAAGTAAGATTTCTTCTAGTCAAGATTATTATATTTTATTGGGTAAATTACAACCACCCCTGAGGTATGGTAAAATTACGAAATCCCCCCTCCTGTTTGGGTAATTATAACAAAATCCCTCAACTATAAATTTTCTTACACGTCCACCCTTGCGGTTTCAAATTTAGTGGAATCTTCTTGATTATATAGAATATTATCACTTTTGCACCCGTTTTATCCCATTTGAGCTCCACATTTTGAAGCAAGATGATCATAAAATGTGTTTTTTGGCTTATATATATCAGATTGTGGTGCATCAAAACTGTATTTTTACACAAAACGAGTACACACTAGAGCACATTCCACGGAATCTAGATGATTATGTTGAATTTGACATCATAATGGGGTAGGTGTAAGCAGATTCATAGTTGAGGGGTAGATGATGTAATTATCCAAACAAGAGGGATTTTTTCGTAATTTGACCATACCTCAGGGGTGGTCATTTTTTTCAAACTAAAAAAATTAAATATGTATTTAATATATATTTTTTTATTTTTTATTGCAGAAAACATGGGAACAAACGGACAAGCTAATAGAGGACAAGTTCATCGACAAATCTCCATTAGCATGGGTGAAAGCTTTAGCCCTATTAATACTCGGGATTGTTATGCTCGGTGTTCTAGCCGAGCCTCTTATACGAAGTGTTCGTGATTTTTCTAAATCTGCAAACTTGCCTTCGTTCTACGTTGCCTTTGTTTTTGTCCCTTTGGCAACAACTGCTCGATTAGCAGTCTCTGCTATAAGTGAAGCCCGCAAGAAGAAACTACATACCAATTCTCTTACATTGTCCGAGGTTTGTGCCCTTATGTCCCTAAAAAAAACAAAAAATATTGCTATTTTTTTTTTGTCTTTCTTGAGATTAACTTATTAATTTGAACAATGCAGATATACGGGACTGTATTTATGAACAACGTGTTGGGATTAATCGTACTTCTCTCACTGATCTATTTTCGCGGATTATCGTGGAGTTTTTCGACTGAGGTGACAATGGTTCTTGTTGTGTCTGCGGTTATGGGATTTCTTGCAAGCTACAGTACCGTGTTGCCCGTTTGGACAGCTTTCTTGGCTTATTTGATGTATCCATTGTCATTGGTTTTGGTCTACGTTCTTGGTGAAAATGACTGGCTATCGTTTAACCTTAGTTAGGTCATACTACATATTCAATTAAATTTGTAAAAAGAAAAAAAAAAAAAAAAGGATCGGAAGAAGATTCTGTTGGTTTTGGGGGAGATATGTGTATAGGTTTGCATATTCTTTGTCCGTTGGTTATTCTTTGAGCAATCGATACTTGCTGTTCATATTAAGCTTATTTATTCTTTGTCGATGTCCGGTTCACATCATTAGTATGTAGCCAAGTGTAATTTTGTAATTGTTTCGTAAGGATGTTTTTCTTTTATTATACAATTTTTTTTCCGTATTGCTCGGTGTAACTCACGCGTTCGTGTACAAACCGGTCGAGAAGATGATCCATAATTGGTCCAATCGCGCATACGTATTATACGTACCTCGTAGTTGGGTTGTACCTTCCTTAGGAGTCAAATGTGATGTTGTACCTTCCAACGGGTGTTAGATGCTACATCTGGTTATTTACACTGATTATTTACAATGGGTGTATTTGAATCGTAAATTTAATTAAATAACTACTCACTAAGCACGCATACACATTAATCAAGTGTAGCATCTAGAACCCGCAAGGGTGGCCTAGCGGTTGGAGCAAGGGAGTTTGGGTCAATTGACCCAAGTTCGAATCCCCTTGTCAACGGTCGCTAGGTCGAGCTTGTCACACATGGTTAGCCTAGTGTGGTTTACATCTCTTGTATGGTTTGCAAGCTATTATACGAGAGTGTAGGTTTACCCAGTGCACCTATATGGTTGGCTGCGGGTTCCTGCATTACCAAAAAAAAAAAAAAAAAAAAAAAGTGTAGCATCTAGAATGAGTACACAAAATCATATTCCTTAGCTTTCCATCTATCTAATTCATGTGATAGATAACACATCCATATTATATCAGCAGTTCGAATTAATTATAAGGTAAATTACACCTACACTCCTGAGGTATGCCAAAATAACTTTAAGGTCCATGTGGTATCGGTAATAGTCACCCCCAAGCTCTATATTGTCTCCACCACTTCCTGAAACTAATAGTCCGTTAGAATACTATCAGAATAACGTATCCAATGCATTGTCCCGTTAGAGTTTCTAACAATGTTTCAGGGGTGATTATAATTACCGATACATACGGATCTTAAAGTCATTATAGCATACCTCAGGGTACAAGAGTAATTTACCCTAATTATCTATAGCAAACCATTATAGTGAAGTTTTAGCAATCTTATTCCTTAATTTCCATATTTAATTCAAGTGAAAGATAATACATTCCATATATTACCAGATTTTTAATTTAATTATATATTGCAAGTTGCAACTAATTGTAATGAAATTTTAGCAATACGTAATGAATGTATGTTTATTGGCTATAAATTAGGACCTAAACTCACCATATGAAATTCATTCTACAACTATTTAGTACAAAATAAAAATACAATGGCTTCTTGCAATAATGCTCGTTTTATTTTCTTCTGCATGGCTCTTGTCGCCCTCTTCATTTCTAGTGAATGTAAGTTTCGATTTAATTTTTGGGCAAATTACCAAAACCCCCTGAGGTAAGCCTAAATAACGAAAATCCCCCCCATGTTCTCGTAATTACGAAAACCCCCCTTGACTAACGGTTGACCGAATTTTTTTAACCGAAAACGTGAAATGTCTATTATATCCTTCTGTTAAATATGTGAAAAATAAAAGAAAAAAGGCAAATTACCAAAACCCCCCTGAGGTAAGCCTAAATAACGAAAATCCCCCCTGACATCCCTTTCAGTTGATGATTTATTGCTTTTATAAATTTATTTATTACTTTGTAATTTGTATTGATAATTTGATATTATAATTTTTTATTTTTTTTTTATTTATATATTTTAATTGATTTTATTTATCCAGAGGAGTATTCATATGGATTTATGCTTTTAGCTTGAATGATGCATGGTTGTATTTCTCAAATTGTAAAATATTTAATTTTATATATAAAAAATAATTAAATTTTGAAATCTCATTCATTGATTTTTTTTAATCCAATAAAAATACATTGTACATTCATAATGTTTGATTATATTTGGGTTTAATTTAAGAAAAATAAGTATTTTGCAAACACTTATATATTTTTTTATTTATATATTTTAATTGATTTTATTTATCCAGAGGAGTATTCATACGGATTTATGCTTTTAGCTTGAATGATGCATGGTTGTATTTCTCGAATTGTAAAATATTTAATTTTATATATAAAAAATAATTAAATTTTGAAATCTCATTCAATGATTTTTTTTAATCCAATAAAAATACATTGTACATTCATAATGATTGATTATATTTGGGTTTAATTTAAGAAAAATAAGTATTTTGTACATTCATAATGACCCCTCATTAAATAAAATGCTTACAATTACCCCCCTAAGGGTAATTTCGTATACAAGGGCAAAATTGGTATTATCGGAGGAATATTCGGGAGAATAAAAAAGATTCCATCGAGTCTAACACCGTTAGAGCAATTTGTAAGACGTCTGCATACCTCAGGGGGGTTTTCGTAATTACGAGAACATGGGGGGGATTTTCGTTATTTAGGCTTACCTCAGGGGGGTTTTGGTAATTTGCCCTTAATTTTTTTTCGATTATATATATTGTTTCATTTTTAACGTAGGGGTCGCTTTGGTTCATTTTGAAGTTCAGGGAAATTATTTTTTACGTTGGTTATAGTTCAGGTAGATTAATATCCAGTAAATAATCTTAATGAAATTTTAGCAATCGATAACATAGTCAAATTAGTTGTAAACACAATTTACCCATCTTGATAACTATAAATTGGGATAGAGGCTCGTAAAATGAAATTCATTCTACAATCATCGAGCAAATATTTCAATGGCTTCTTACAATATTCCTCGTTTTATTTTCCTCTTCATTCCTCACGAATGTAAGTTCCATTTTATAATAAATTCTAAGAGACGATTTTTTTTAGTATTAACTCAACATGTTTTATCGTACGATACATCATGAAAAAATCTTTTATACATTTCGTGTATTCGTAACCATCCATATTTGCACACATTCGTCGATTTTTTCTATCATGTGTAGCATATATATAATTAATGATTTTGTATTTTATTTTATTTTCAATTTAAATTCAACAGGTGTTGATAATAGCGGCAGCAGAAAAACATTAGCGAACGTTGCCGGACGAAAAGAACAACCATTTGAGTGTTATCTTGGCTCGTGTCCACCTGGCGCAAGTGGTGACTGTTGGTGTTGTTCGTTTGACCAACGTTGTTATGCCTCTGATGTGGAATGTAATCGAGTTTGCTACGGGAATTGAAACATTCCCGAAAAACCGTGTCTTGATTCCAATAACTAATTCTATCGTTCGAATTCAAATAATTAATGAAATAAGTGCAAATTTTTTTTTGATACAAATTATTCATTCGATACTCTCTTTTCCATATTTTTTTCTCTCTACAAAGCACTGTTCCAATTTTTCTCGTCTCATCGTTTGGCAATTTAATCGGAAAGAAGCTAAATGAGTCCGAGCTTTTGGAATATTCCTATTATACATACATACATACACATTAGAATTTTCAATGGAATATAATACCTCAATTGGAATACTTTCATAGTCAAATAATTCGTTCTTCGAGTTCGAATTCGGAGGAGCCAATGTACGAAAATCTCCACTTAACCTCTCGTTTTTCCGGTTTACTTCTTTCACGTTACGACCGGGCAGTGATTTTGAGCTCAAAGGGCCTTCTCTGAAATTTTGTGTAGGAAAAAAAAAAAAAGCAGTTAAAACAATAATTTATTAAAAAATCCAGAAATTGGTAACTTAACTACTGGGAAAAATACAAATTTCATTCCTCATGTTTGCGCCGATTTCACATTGGGTCCCCGATGTTCACAACAGACACATTTGGTCCCTCATGTTTTAAGAATTCAACAATGTTAATCATTTCCGTCAATTTTCCGTTAGTAATACGGAATCAAGCACGTACCAAAAACTGCTTCACTGGCGGACTAACAATAAATTGACAGAAATGACCAAAAGTATTAAACTATTGAAATTTGAGGGATCAAATGTTTTTTTTTGTGAACATGGGGGACCAAATGTGAAATCGGTGCAAACTTGAGGGGTGGAAACTATAGTTTTCCCCTTGAGAGAAAAATGTCGCTAAGCAGGAGATGTGGTCCAAAGTCTCTGCCAATTGAAGTGATGGAGAAAAGGCTTCGAGTGAACTTCGTCGGTTATTTACACGATAAAGTGATAGAGAAAAGGCTTCGAGTGAACTTCGTCGGTTGTTTACACGATATACATGTATAGATCTATATATATTTTACACAATTTTTCGCATGTTTATGTTTGCGATTATATGTAAATCAAAAGTATAAAATTAAGCCATGTATATTTCACTAGGTATAGCAGCATTTGAGAAACCGTAAATATATAGAACATGGCAACCAAAAAATATAATTTGAGCAAGTCATGTAAATTAATTATTTACAAATTACAAGAAATTTGTAGTTCCTAGGGTTAGCTTTCTTACCCAACTAGATTATCAGGATTGCATGTCGGGTGAAAAATATATACATGAATTATTAAACATTGCCTGCAACTTTGATATTTTGAGCAGTCTAGAATTTAAAATATATTCATAACTTTGTCACATAACATTCAATCCAACTAATTCAAGTTGGATCGAAAAGTTAATTCAAAGTCCTACAACTTCAGTTCATTGATTTTTGCAAAAATCAGACTATAAAATGTTTAATCACATTCGAAATCGAAATGATATAAGTAAAATCGAAACGACGTTTGAAATTTCAATTTATGTATTCATAAATCTATATAATCCGATTTGCAAATATAATACAAATTTTTACATCAAAAAACTCAATGAAATCTTATTCCTTTTCATATATAAATTCATGTGGAAATCAACAATACTAATAATGCCCTAACCTACCAAAATTTGTTAACAAAATCTTATGCATTGCTTTTCATAATCATTCAAGTATTAACAACATCAAATCAATGCAAGTGAAATAATGCATCCATTAATTAAGGGTCCATTTGGATGGAGGGATTTGGGGAGGGATTTGATTTGGGGAATGGATTTGAAATGACTCCAATTTTGGAGTCATTTGAAATCCATCACTATTGCTCCAAAATCAACTAAAAAGGAGGGGTGGGGATTTGAAATCCATCTTCAAATCCCTCAATCCAAACAAGTTCGAGTGATTTGTTATTATGGATTTGAAATCCCTCCATCCAAATGCACCCTAACAGAATTAAATTGAGGGTAAAGTTCATTTTACCTATTAT